TAGTGCACAATTAACCCGATATCGGTTGAATATATGAAGATCCTCAATAGTAACTGTGGGTCTATTTCGCTTCCTTCTCCAAATGCACAAAGACATAATACCCTTACCACTATGTAGTGTAGGGTATAAAAACGTATACTAGGTGCAATCGCCTAAAAGAACTTTTAAGCGCTCCCAACAATTTTTCAACTAAAAGACTCTATACTTTACTACACAAACATATATATATATATATACCATAAACATATTTTTTTATAAAATACTCTAAAGCTTCTCAATTTGGTACAAAATAAATCAAAACACGTTTTACATATGACTCTAACATAATATGTCAACTAGGCTCTATAACCTGTTCGAATGACAGATTTTGTCACCGATATATTTTAATTGAAGAAAACTCAATGCAGACAGATTGTTCTCTCTTTCTCCTCGTAAATCATTCAATAAACTTCCAATAATAGCTGTAGGTTGTAGAGTAAATTTAATTTAGAACATTTGATTAATCATTACACACCTGCCTAATCCATTCTAACCATTTGCGCGCTCTATTGAATTTTTGATTTTTTTCCCCTCCTTACATGTCATTACCCTGAACGAATTCTAGCTTTACAAGTGAAGCAGCAGCACCACCACGCTCGTTCACTTACTACGTAAAGCACATGCTGCGATTTTTGTTGTTTGTTTGGGCGAATATAAAAAAAGAAAGAAAAAGAGTTATGCAAAAATCAAATACAAGCAGATAACACGCGTATGCTCTTATTATGCGTACTCACGAGAATAAGGTAAAGTGACCATAAAACCATACGACAACAACAACGATAAAACTAACAACAACAATTGTGTTACCACGCACATTTACTTAGCCATAAAAAAAGTAAACAAAATTTAGGTAAGTGCGGTAAGTGAATGTGTGGTTGTGTCATGTTTGTTTAGTTTTTTTTTTTTTTTTGTGTACCCTACACTTGTTTTTGCCAAACATTTGACTTCGGCATATATAAAATAGCCAGTATCTGGAGTTCCAAATATTTTGTGCAATATATAGGATAGTGTCGGAAAGGGTTTTCCGATGAATACGTAATCGAGAGTAAAAATGTTTTATTCTCTACAAAAATCTACTTTTGGACTATTAATTTATTGCAATCAAAAATAAGCAAGGAAAGGTCAAAAAGTCGGACAGGGGCAACAATATAATACCCTACACGACTATGCGTATTTAGCCGAGCTCCCGTAACAAAAAAAGTTTCTATTCGGAATTTATGTGAAGTAGATCATACCAACTATGAATCTTATTTGAATGCGTATCATGGCTTTAGAGTAGTCCCAATTTGCGAACTATATCCAACTCTAAATCGATTTTCAAGAAATTTAACTCGTACCAAAAAACATTGCTCTATAGTGCATGATATGACTTCGATAAGAATTTTATTAAAAAATATTTATTGGAGCAATAGATATACCGGACCGGGGTTCACCAAATAAAAACAATTCGAACGAATAATGAAAAATCTAACCAATTGGTCCTGATATGACATATATGGTGGACGACAAGAACCTAAAATCGGATGAATATGTATATCGAAACTATATAAAAATCTGAATCGATCTCGATAAAATTTCCAGACGTATTTTCAAGCTGTCCGGTGTCAAATATCCTTGTTGTGCATTGCATATAACACAAGTGACGGACTTAAACACAAAATAGGATTGAACATATATATGGGAGCTATAGCTACATCTGAACAGTTGTTCACCAATATTTGAAACTCTTGCTTTTAGGCTGAATTTCGTCGGAAGTGCCAAAATTCAGTCCATTTTGGTTGATATTAGCCATTTGGTGTAGAAAAAAAAATCAAATCGAATGAAAGTATATATGGAAGCTATATCCAAATCTGAAGCGAATTTGACAAATTATTTTGAGCTGTATCTGACATCTGGTACCAACGATCATTGTTGTGGAGTACATATTACGCATGTGAGGGACTAAAAACCCAAAATCGGATACAACATATATATGGGAGCTATAGCTATATCAGAGTCTATTTTCAACAAATTTTATGCAACTGCTTCTAGACTGCATTCAGTCAAAATGCAGCTCATTTGGGCTGATATTTGTCTCTTGATGCACAATTAACCCAAAATCGGTAGAAGATATATATGAGAGCTATATTTAAATTTGAACCGATTTCCACCAATTTCAATAGGGCACGTCCTTGGGCCACTTAAATATTGTAAAGTTGTCAGAATGAGGTTTGGTATGGATGCCGTGCAGATGGCCGCCGCGACTTTGCTAGTACACACACGATCTTTTAATACAACTTTGAATGCTTTCCTATTTTAAGGATTGATTCGTCGTCGGCTTACTCGCGTAACCCCAAAAAAATCTGAAGGTTTAAAATCGGACGATCCAGGCAACCAATTCTGTGCCTCAATTCTCGTTTTATGGAGATGTGAAATGAAAAATATTATAAAGAAAACAAATGTCATAAGGAATATTATATAAAAAGAAATGTTTTTCATTTCATATTTTCATAGAACAAGAATCCAGCCCCTGATCTCCAAAATGCGAAATAACACGGCCGGAAAATGATGCAGCAATTGAATTATTTATCTGGCTGTATGACATGTGCCCTCCATTCCGTATTCGCGATACCGAATACAATTGATTGTTTGTGCTTGACTTGCCTCACTTTCATAAGAAAAAGGTTCAATGATTGCTCCAGCTCAAAATCTACACCACACAGTTAGGATGCATTTGCTTCTCACCACTTGAGGATTTTCTCCAACCAAATGCGACAATTCTATCTATTGACGAGGCCATCAAGGTGGAAATGTACCTCGCCACAGAAAATGATTTTATCGGCAAAATCAGCATTTTCAGGTTATCTTTCCAACACCCAATTAACGAACTTCCTTCGGTATCCTTTGTATGGATAAAGATGCAAAACTTCCATCAAAAAAATCGCTGCTTAGTGGATTTAGAGACACCAATTGGCTGAACTCGGTGTCGAATTGAGGTGGAATGGACCAGAAGGAGTGGACCATCTTCACAGCGAATCTTGTGTTAGTAGAGATAATGGGATGTGAGTATGTATGTATGCTTAATTCGGATTTTACAATCGGTTTGGTTACTAAAAACGTTGATCCTTTGTGGGGATGTATCAGAAGGAATGGTCCGATCTCTACCATCTAATAACGGATCTTGTGTTGATGGAAGTACAGAGTGAGATGAAAAAACTGCAACCAACTTTAGACTGCTGTCATTTCTAAGCCACTCGTCCGACAGCTGTTAAAACTATTCCAGTGACAGCTCTTTATATTGTTTACAATCGTACAAAAGCATTTTGGTGAGAATTTTACAGAAAAAATTATTAATTAGTTATTCGTGATGGAATTCAGGCGTGATAGTGTGATTTCTTTATCTTTGACTGGAAAACCACAAGTGGCTGGTAGCGTAGCCCGACATCAAGGAAGTGGACGGAAGAAAACAGCAACATCAGCAGAAATGGTTCGAAAAGTAATGAAGCGGCTTGATCGAAACCGGCGTCGCAGAGGTCGAAAAATGGCTCGTGAGCTGAACATGTCGCAATTTTATATTCGGCAAAAATTGAAAAATGAGCTCGGGGTAAAGTCATTGAAATTCCAAAAAGTGCAAGATCTTACACCGCAACAGAAAGAAAATAGACTCAAAAGAGCTAAAGAGTTGCTTTGGTTTTCTCCGATGAGAAAACATTCGTTGTCCAGCAGTTTGTAAACAAACAAAATGATTATGTTTACTTGCCAAAGAGGTTAGCTGAAAATGTGAACCTTCGGTTGGCCACCAGAACTTAAGTGCCGGCCATGGTGATGGTGTGGGCCGCCATAACATCCGATGGTCGCTCTCCGCTCGTATTAATCGACCGTGACATGATAAAAAATGTCGAATATTATCGCGAAAATATTCTGGAGGGTGTATTAAAGCCTTGGGCATGCAAACATTTTGGCCGCAGGCCTTGGACATTCCGGCATGACTCAGCACGCGCCACCCAAGAATGGTTACTAAATGAAGTTCCTCGCTTCATTTCCAGCGCACTTCGCCACCAAAATCTCCGGATACCAATCCATTGGACTATTGTGTCTGGAGTATTTTAAAAAGCAAGGTTGGCACTAAAAAATATCAAAGTGTCGATCACCTCAAGCAAGTTTTTTTATCTCACCCTGTATACCCTTTTTAGCCATATGGCTGAGGGTATAATGACATTACGTAAATAATAGTAATAGCAACAACCAATTATTCATGGCAGCCCCACTATAATCCTGATATGGCGCCCAATCATTCACTGCAAATTATGGTTCCTTAAACATCTAAACAATAAGTTATAAACAATAATAAATTTAAACTTCTACATGCCCAACACTTGAATGAACCTGTCGAAAGTTTACTTAGCTCTCAAAACCCTTTCGACCACTCCTTGTTATAGGGAAGACGTTTTACGTAGGTCACTATACATTCGGTTTTGTTTTTTTTTTTTTTTTTCCACCTCAGTTTGGTTCAAATTTAACATCCTTTGATACCGGTTTTAGCGCTTATGTATGATTTCTTTGTTTTTCTTGTAGTTTAATTTGTTTGTTGTTTTCTACACTTATTCTGTTGTTGTTTGGCTTTTTTGTTTTTGTTTTGTACAAACAAATAAAGCCAACTTGGCCGGTCGGTCGTTCAGTCGTTCGTTCGATCATACAAACATTCATTGTTGAGGTTTGAGGAAGCGACAACAAGCAGGAAAGAAAAATAAGAATGGGAAAATAAAAACACACAAAAATAAAACAGCAAAAAAGGCAAAACCAAAACAAACAATGAAAAAAAGTAACAACAATAATAAAAACAACGTGATTCAAACTTAAGGTGGTCGTCGGTTTTGTTGTTGTTATTATTTGGTGTATAATGCAGATAAGTTTTTTTTGGAGTTTTTGTTGCTGTTTTTGCTTGCTTGAAAATCACAAAAACACACACACACACAAATTACCTCAAATTTCCAGCAATGCAACTTGTGATGCGTTGATGATAGACTTCTTTTTTTATCGAACGAGGTTTGCTTTATTTGTTTTAAATCACTTTTTTTTATTATTTTTATTTATTCTTTATTTTTTATTCGATGATATTTTTATTCTTTTTTTGTGATATTTTTTTCAATGCCACTGCCACAGACAATATTAAAATTATTGTTGTCGTCTTCCACTTTAAAAAATTGATGTATGATTGGTCGATTGCTTTTTTTTTTTTTTTTTGAGAGGGGGAGGAGAACCCGAAAATTTTACACTCACTCTTCAAACTCCCCTTTCTTTTATTTTTTGGCAAGCCACCATTCACATGTTATGTGAACGTTTAGATAACGCGGTATTTTTGTTGTTATTATTATTTTTCTTCTTTTTTTTATATCCGAAACGCAACGTATACACGCAGCAGCACCGATCCTGACCAAATCCCGCACTCCGCCGCACAATGCAAAATGACTTCTTCAGTAGGTTCTTTGCTGGTGAACCAATTAATGCAGCACAACAAAAAAATGCAACTCGAATGTCGTATTTCGTTATTAAACAATTTCAATGATAAACATTTAATAATAATTACTCCGATTTGCCGATACGATACGTCCGTTACTCGCAAGAAACCAAACACTATTGAAAGTGGAACACAAGTAAAGTAACAAACGGCAGCACATCGGCCAGTGGAAACTGAGAGATGTTTTTGCTGCTGCTGCGACTACGGCTGCCGCTGTTGTTTTTGTTTTCAAAAAAAACACTCGAAGATAGGTTAGTAAAGCGGTTTCGATTTACTAACAGGTATCGATGTTTTGTGGTTTTAACTGTGTTATCGATAAATTTGTTCAAATAGGAAAACAAAGTGGAGACAATAACACAAGAGTTGAGGTTTTTGGAGAGACGAAGTAATGGTGGAGAGTTTCCTTGTTTTACACAGCGTTGCCAACTATATGGTGGGATGTGTGTCTAAACTATAATTAGCCATGATATAAACCGTATTGCCTGGAAATTGTCGATGTTTTCAACTAGATGTTGCTGTTATAGAAAAATATTCATAGAGCAGTAAATTTATCAATTTTTAAAAATAAGAGAGGAGTTACATCCCTTCACAATAAAAAAGCTAACATTCTAGGCACCCCATCTGAATAAAAAGGGTATATTAATTTTTCCATTTCATTTGTAACCCATAAAAATATTCATTGGAAACCCAATAATGTGTAAACACACATGATCTGCATAAAATCACGAGATGGAGTGTACCCACATTTGCTTATCTCCAAAGTCGGTCTTGATCGAAATTGGTAAAAACAAGTAAAATAGTTATGATTATTCAAACTTTTGACCCTTTATGGGGGAGGTTCAATTTCCTCTGGAAATTGTGACCCTTTGTGGTTAAGGTACCCGAAGGGGTTGGAAGATTCAGGGTGAGATGAAAAAACTGCAACCAACTTCAGACTGCTGTCATTTCTAAGCCACTCGTCCGAAAGCTGTTAAAATTATTCCAGTGACAACTCATTATATTGTTTACAAGGGTGCAAAAGAATTTTTGTGAGAATTTTCCAGAAAAAATGTCATTTGTGATGGAATTTAAGCGTGATATTGTGATTACTTTATATTTGGCAGGAAACCCAAAAGTGGCTATCGTTAGAGCACTCCAGCATTTAAACGTGAATAAATCTTTTGTGTCTCGTACCATCGCTCATGACCGTGATACTGGTAGCGTAACACGACGTCAAGGAAGTGAAGTGAAGTGAATTTGCTTTTCTCCGATGGGAAAACATTCGTTGTCCAGCAGTTTGTAAACAAACAAAATTATCGTGTCTACTTGCCAAAGAGGTCAACTGAAAATATGCACCTTCGGTTGGCCACCAGAACTCAAGCGCCGGCCATCACCATGGTGTGGGCCGCCATAACAGCCAATGGTCGCCCTACGCTCGTATTAATCGACCGTGGCATCATGATGAATGCCGAATATTATCGCGAAAATATTCTGGAGGGTGGCCGCAGACCTTGGACATTCCAACAGGACTCAGCAGCATTGCACTCAGTACGCACCACCCAAGAATGGTTGCAAAACGAAGTTCCTCGCTTCATTTCCAGCCACAATGGCCACCAAAATCTCCGGAATGGACCAAAATACCGCAGAGCAACATTCGGGCAGCGGGTGACGGTTTCATTGGCCGTTTGTAGGCCATAATTCGTGCCAAATCTAATTCGAATAAATCTAAACTTATGCTAAAATTCGATGCTATTTCCGACATTTTTTACTTCATTCAATAAATTAAAAAAAATGTGAAAATTATGGCGTTTGACTTTGTTGCATTTTTTTATCTCACCCTGTATATACTATCTTCACTACAGATCTTGCGTTAGCAAAAATATTTAAATGGGTGAAATTTGAAGAGATTTCGATGCTTATCACGCTTTCTTTGAGCATTTTGTTTTTCAAAAATCGTGAACCCCATGTGCGGAGGTACCAGAAGAAATGGTGCGATTTCTACCGTCTTTATAACCGATATTGTGTTGATGGAAATATTGATATATACCAAGTCTGAATAGAATCGGATGTTAATTTCGAGTTTTATGACCCTCATAAATATTCAAAATTTTAACCCCTTGTGGAGGAGATACCATATTCTCACCAGACCTTGGGTTAATAAAAAAATGCTTCGTTCAAAAGTAGAGGTTTGAGTAAAAAGTATTGCGACTCATGAATTAAATACAATTGTTAATTCAGTATTTCTTTTATTAAAGCCTGTAGAATTCTCTATACTTGCAATCGCAAAATTCAATTTTTCTCGGTGGTACAAAATTTTCTCATAGAATGCAGAATATGTGAAGTTAAGGTGTTTTTTCCCAGCTATTTCCAGTGCATGAAAATCAAGAGTTTTTGTCAAACATTGGTGCGATCGGTGGAGAATATTACATACAGAAAGTGTGCAATTACAGCAAAGAAATCCGCCATCAAAAAAACTCTCAGAACATAAGTTGATATTTTTTACCATTATAACGCACCAGAGGATGGATGTTAGCTAAAACAAATTTAGTTTTTAGTCAAATTTAATCTTAGTTTAGCCATTGTATATTGAATAGCCTTTGAATTGCAAAAATTAAAACTTTAAATCGATATTATGAATTCTTATGTTTTTATCCAACTCGATGCATAGAGGTTGCTAAGCGATTGTTTTCCCTTGATATTGTAGAATATATTTTAAAGCCCAAGATTCTCTTTTTAGAAAAATAAGTCTTCACTGAGAAAAGTCCACATTAAACCAAACTGCAATATGTCTGATCATTACAGACAGATCAACCTCGCTGCCTTCCTCCCAAATTATTGTGTGATCCAACCACACAGAGTTTTTCCTCCTCCACATAGACTAACAGCTCTTAGAGACACATAGAGTATGAATTTTTGGACCTCTAATTAAATGTGGAATTTACGTTGTTTGTTTCATGGTTTTAATTCGGAAATACAATGCTCAACATTAAGAACAATTGTCCTAATTCACTTTCCATCTCTAAGTTGTTTTCGCCTTAACCTAATATGATAAGAGGATGCAATAAGCAGACAAAAAATGATTGTTTATAGATACTTACCAACACGTTGTAGCTCAATTTGCTACAAATTCCATATCTATACCAATATCAGCAATGTCAACATCAGCTCGTAATTGGATGATTCTGTTAATTCCTTGTCAACTGATAACCTTATGATTATTCGAAGGAGATATCCCATTCGAAACAATATAAACAGGCCACAATAACGCCGCTTGCTCCCGGAGAATTGAATTCTCTCGTTAGATCTTCTTAATGTTCACAAAAACTAATTGCACTGAATCGGTGAACTTAAAACTTGGGAGTGGATGAACAAAACAATTCTATAAAATTATTTCACAACAATAAACTAACCGGCATAGCCAGGTTTTATTCAATTAAATAATAATTGTTTTGGTTTCTTTTGTTGTCGCCTGCTTCACTTGATTTATGAACTAGTTCAATTGTTGTATTCACTTAATGAGGGTATGGGAACTAGTGTTAGATTTTTTGACGTTCATTGCTGCAATTTACTTTAAATTTTTATTAATCGATCTAGGTGTCCCCAATCATTTGTATGTATTCTGTTATCTAACGTTTACACAAGGTTATATTGATCAACACATATTGCGTAGATTCGTAATGTTTTGGTCAAGTATATAGTCAAGGCTATTTAAGAGACTCAAAATGGTGCGACCTAGGAACCCGTAACTCTTCGGTGAATAAAGCTGTAAAGAATCGCGGACTTGTTTCACAAGTTATGACAGATAAGAGTATTGAAAATTGTGACCCTTCGTGGTGAGATACCAGAAGGGGTTCGCAAATATATACCATCTTCAAAACAGATCTTGTGCTAGCAAAAATGTTGGTATGTGTGAAGTTTGAAGAGAGTTGGATGCTTATTTCGCTTTCTTTGAGCGTTTTGTTTTTTTCAAATCTTGAACCCTATGTGGGGAAACTCCCCTTTCTTTTATTTTTTGGCAAGCCACCATTCACATGTTATGTGAACGTTTAGATAACGCGGTATTTTTGTTGTTATTATTATTTTTCTTCTTTTTTTTATATCCGAAACGCAACGTATACACGCAGCAGCACCGATCCGGACCAAATCCCGCACTCCGCCGCACAATGCAAAATGACTTCTTCAGTAGGTTCTTTGCTGGTGAACCAATTAATGCAGCACAACAAAAAAATGCAACTCGAATGTCGTATTTCGTTATTAAACAATTTCAATGATAAACATTTAATAATAATTACTCCGATTTGCCGATACGATACGTCCGTTACTCGCAAGAAACCAAACACTATTGAAAGTGGAACACAAGTAAAGTAACAAACGGCAGCACATCGGCCAGTGGAAACTGAGAGATGTTTTTGCTGCTGCTGCGACTACGGCTGCCGCTGTTGTTTTTGTTTTCAAAAAAAACACTCGAAGATAGGTTAGTAAAGCGGTTTCGATTTACTAACAGGTATCGATGTTTTGTGGTTTTAACTGTGTTATCGATAAATTTGTTCAAATAGGAAAACAAAGTGGAGACAATAACACAAGAGTTGAGGTTTTTGGAGAGACGAAGTAATGGTGGAGAGTTTCCTTGTTTTACACAGCGTTGCCAACTATATGGTGGGATGTGTGTCTAAACTATAATTAGCCATGATATAAACCGTATTGCCTGGAAATTGTCGATGTTTTCAACTAGATGTTGCTGTTATAGAAAAATATTCATAGAGCAGTAAATTTATCAATTTTTAAAAATAAGAGAGGAGTTACATCCCTTCACAATAAAAAAGCTAACATTCTAGGCACCCCATCTGAATAAAAAGGGTATATTAATTTTTCCATTTCATTTGTAACCCATAAAAATATTCATTGGAAACCCAATAATGTGTAAACACACATGATCTGCATAAAATCACGAGATGGAGTGTACCCACATTTGCTTATCTCCAAAGTCGGTCTTGATCGAAATTGGTAAAAACAAGTAAAATAGTTATGATTATTCAAACTTTTGACCCTTTATGGGGGAGGTTCAATTTCCTCTGGAAATTGTGACCCTTTGTGGTTAAGGTACCCGAAGGGGTTGGAAGATTCAGGGTGAGATGAAAAAACTGCAACCAACTTCAGACTGCTGTCATTTCTAAGCCACTCGTCCGAAAGCTGTTAAAATTATTCCAGTGACAACTCATTATATTGTTTACAAGGGTGCAAAAGAATTTTTGTGAGAATTTTCCAGAAAAAATGTCATTTGTGATGGAATTTAAGCGTGATATTGTGATTACTTTATATTTGGCAGGAAACCCAAAAGTGGCTATCGTTAGAGCACTCCAGCATTTAAACGTGAATAAATCTTTTGTGTCTCGTACCATCGCTCATGACCGTGATACTGGTAGCGTAACACGACGTCAAGGAAGTGAAGTGAAGTGAATTTGCTTTTCTCCGATGGGAAAACATTCGTTGTCCAGCAGTTTGTAAACAAACAAAATTATCGTGTCTACTTGCCAAAGAGGTCAACTGAAAATATGCACCTTCGGTTGGCCACCAGAACTCAAGCGCCGGCCATCACCATGGTGTGGGCCGCCATAACAGCCAATGGTCGCCCTACGCTCGTATTAATCGACCGTGGCATCATGATGAATGCCGAATATTATCGCGAAAATATTCTGGAGGGTGGCCGCAGACCTTGGACATTCCAACAGGACTCAGCAGCATTGCACTCAGTACGCACCACCCAAGAATGGTTGCAAAACGAAGTTCCTCGCTTCATTTCCAGCCACAATGGCCACCAAAATCTCCGGAATGGACCAAAATACCGCAGAGCAACATTCGGGCAGCGGGTGACGGTTTCATTGGCCGTTTGTAGGCCATAATTCGTGCCAAATCTAATTCGAATAAATCTAAACTTATGCTAAAATTCGATGCTATTTCCGACATTTTTTACTTCATTCAATAAATTAAAAAAAATGTGAAAATTATGGCGTTTGACTTTGTTGCATTTTTTTATCTCACCCTGTATATACTATCTTCACTACAGATCTTGCGTTAGCAAAAATATTTAAATGGGTGAAATTTGAAGAGATTTCGATGCTTATCACGCTTTCTTTGAGCATTTTGTTTTTCAAAAATCGTGAACCCCATGTGCGGAGGTACCAGAAGAAATGGTGCGATTTCTACCGTCTTTATAACCGATATTGTGTTGATGGAAATATTGATATATACCAAGTCTGAATAGAATCGGATGTTAATTTCGAGTTTTATGACCCTCATAAATATTCAAAATTTTAACCCCTTGTGGAGGAGATACCATATTCTCACCAGACCTTGGGTTAATAAAAAAATGCTTCGTTCAAAAGTAGAGGTTTGAGTAAAAAGTATTGCGACTCATGAATTAAATACAATTGTTAATTCAGTATTTCTTTTATTAAAGCCTGTAGAATTCTCTATACTTGCAATCGCAAAATTCAATTTTTCTCGGTGGTACAAAATTTTCTCATAGAATGCAGAATATGTGAAGTTAAGGTGTTTTTTCCCAGCTATTTCCAGTGCATGAAAATCAAGAGTTTTTGTCAAACATTGGTGCGATCGGTGGAGAATATTACATACAGAAAGTGTGCAATTACAGCAAAGAAATCCGCCATCAAAAAAACTCTCAGAACATAAGTTGATATTTTTTACCATTATAACGCACCAGAGGATGGATGTTAGCTAAAACAAATTTAGTTTTTAGTCAAATTTAATCTTAGTTTAGCCATTGTATATTGAATAGCCTTTGAATTGCAAAAATTAAAACTTTAAATCGATATTATGAATTCTTATGTTTTTATCCAACTCGATGCATAGAGGTTGCTAAGCGATTGTTTTCCCTTGATATTGTAGAATATATTTTAAAGCCCAAGATTCTCTTTTTAGAAAAATAAGTCTTCACTGAGAAAAGTCCACATTAAACCAAACTGCAATATGTCTGATCATTACAGACAGATCAACCTCGCTGCCTTCCTCCCAAATTATTGTGTGATCCAACCACACAGAGTTTTTCCTCCTCCACATAGACTAACAGCTCTTAGAGACACATAGAGTATGAATTTTTGGACCTCTAATTAAATGTGGAATTTACGTTGTTTGTTTCATGGTTTTAATTCGGAAATACAATGCTCAACATTAAGAACAATTGTCCTAATTCACTTTCCATCTCTAAGTTGTTTTCGCCTTAACCTAATATGATAAGAGGATGCAATAAGCAGACAAAAAATGATTGTTTATAGATACTTACCAACACGTTGTAGCTCAATTTGCTACAAATTCCATATCTATACCAATATCAGCAATGTCAACATCAGCTCGTAATTGGATGATTCTGTTAATTCCTTGTCAACTGATAACCTTATGATTATTCGAAGGAGATATCCCATTCGAAACAATATAAACAGGCCACAATAACGCCGCTTGCTCCCGGAGAATTGAATTCTCTCGTTAGATCTTCTTAATGTTCACAAAAACTAATTGCACTGAATCGGTGAACTTAAAACTTGGGAGTGGATGAACAAAACAATTCTATAAAATTATTTCACAACAATAAACTAACCGGCATAGCCAGGTTTTATTCAATTAAATAATAATTGTTTTGGTTTCTTTTGTTGTCGCCTGCTTCACTTGATTTATGAACTAGTTCAATTGTTGTATTCACTTAATGAGGGTATGGGAACTAGTGTTAGATTTTTTGACGTTCATTGCTGCAATTTACTTTAAATTTTTATTAATCGATCTAGGTGTCCCCAATCATTTGTATGTATTCTGTTATCTAACGTTTACACAAGGTTATATTGATCAACACATATTGCGTAGATTCGTAATGTTTTGGTCAAGTATATAGTCAAGGCTATTTAAGAGACTCAAAATGGTGCGACCTAGGAACCCGTAACTCTTCGGTGAATAAAGCTGTAAAGAATCGCGGACTTGTTTCACAAGTTATGACAGATAAGAGTATTGAAAATTGTGACCCTTCGTGGTGAGATACCAGAAGGGGTTCGCAAATATATACCATCTTCAAAACAGATCTTGTGCTAGCAAAAATGTTGGTATGTGTGAAGTTTGAAGAGAGTTGGATGCTTATTTCGCTTTCTTTGAGCGTTTTGTTTTTTTCAAATCTTGAACCCTATGTGGGGAAGGTACCAGAAAACATGGTCCGATCTCTACCATCTTTATAACAGATCTTGTGTTGATGGAAATGTTGAGGTGTATCAAGTTTGAATAGAATCGGATGTTGATTTCGCGTTTTCTGAGCTTCATTGATATTGAAAATTGTTACCCTTTGTGGGGTAGTTACCAGAAGAAGTTTACCGACGGATCCCATCTTCATAGCAGATCTTGTGTTAGTAGAAATAACGGGATGTGTGAATTATGAAGAGAATCGGATGCTTATTTCGGATTTAAAATTGATTTTGGTTATTCAAAACGTTGTCCCTTTGTGGGGAGGTACCAGAAGGAGTCTTTATAACACCTTTATAACAGATTTTGTGTTGATAGAAATATTGAGATGTGCCAAGTCTGAATGGAATTGTATGTTATGAGCTTCATTGATATTCAAAATGTTGGCCCTTTGTGGGGAAGGTACCAGAAAGAGTCGACCGATATATCCCATCTTCACAGAAGATCTTGAGTTATTAAGAAATAATGGGATTTGTGAAATATGAAGAAAACCGGATGCTTATTTCGTATTTTATAATCGTTTTCATTATTCAAAACTTTGACCCTTTGTGCGGGAGTTACCAGAAGAATTTGTCCGATCTCAAACATCTTTATAGCAGATTTGTGTTTATAGAAATATTAAGATGTAGAAAGTCTGGATCGAATCGGTTGTTAATTTCGCGTTTTATGAGCTTCATTGATATTCAAAATTTTGGACCTTTGTGGGGAAGGTACCAGTAGAAATTATGAAATGTGTGAAATCTGAAGAGAATCGGATATTTATTTCGGATTTTAAATTGGTTTTGTTTATTAAAAACTTTGACCATTTGTGGGGGAGGTACTAGAAGGAATGGTCCGATCTCTACCATCGTTATAACCGATCTTGTGTTGATAGAAATATTGACATGTGCCAAGTCTGATTGGAATCGGATGTTAATTTCGAGTTTTATAAGCTTCATGAATATTCAAAATGTTGACTTTTTGTGAGGGAGGTACAGGAATGAGTGGTCCGATATATACCATCTTCAAACCAGACCTCGGGTTAATGAAAATATTGGCATGTGTGTAATTTGAAAGCAATCGGAGGGAGGAATGAACCGATATTTTCCATTTTCTCACCTGATCTAGTTCTGATGCAAATATTACGATTTGCAAAGTTGGAGCAAACTCGGATCAACCCGTTATTACGTTTTGGCCGTATCTAATGATATATACCCTCTAAAGCCATATGGCTGAGGGTATAATAATATTGTTAACTGTAACATTACCGGATGCACTATATACCTAAAATACAGTCCTTAAATTTCAGAACGATGTGGAAAGGGGGACTTTTTCCCCCTATGTTCATTTGAGATTTAAACTTTCATTTTTCGGCCACTTCGACGCGGGTTTCGATCAAGTCGCTTCTTTACTTTTCGAACCATTTCTGCTGATGTTGCTGTTTTCGTTTGTCCACTTTCTTGACGTCGGGTTACGAGACACAAAAGATTTATTCACATTTAAATGCTGGACTTATGGTTTCCAGCCAAATATAAAGAACGTGAATTTCATCGTGAATAACTTTTTAACAGCTGTTGGACGAGTGGCTTAGAAATGACAGCAGTCTGAAGTTGGTTGCATTTTTTTTCATCTCACCTTGTATCTGTGTATGTTTCATGACTTCTTCAAGCCATTTTCAGTATCCTTATAATTTTTTTTCTCTATAACGCATAAATCCATCGACTCCCAACTGTTTTAATAAATATTTTCTTATTTCCTATATCCTATTGCAATAATAATACCATTTTATTTTACATTTTTTTTATTGGAAATTATACAGTCACATAATGAACCCATATCCCTCAGTCACTTTAATAAGATAGTCATAATTTTAATAAACCTATAATAATATATGAACACAAAAACAAAGTCTTAAATCTATCCTCAGCAAATTCCTCCCTTACAGCTTAGCTTTCATGAGTCTATTCAAATATGCTGCAGATTTAGTGTTAACCGGCTCCGAATTCAACTCACACTTGCGAGCCTCTGCCATCAAACGTTCATAGACTCGTCCATCATAGCAGCCCAAAGTTGAGGCTAAATCACGATCATGATAATCAAAGCCATCCACCACAGCCACGGCATTGCGACGAAAAGCCAATAGGTACTTTTCGTAACGTGCCTCCACCTCATGGATTTGTTTACCTTTGATCGATGGAATAAAGCAAAGAATTTCATCAACACTGGAGAGGAATAAATCCATAATGAATATGTTCAGCAACTGATCCATAACTTCACGTAAGGCTGGTGGTATAGTTCCTTTCTTTATTTGCTCACGAATACTATCCAACGCCATGCGCGCCAGGAAAGCACGACCATGCATAACAGCTGCCTTGGTCAATTGTATACCGGCATGATTTGTCTGCTTGGGATTTTTCTTATTCCGTTGCATGAGGAAGAAAGTGTGTCGAACACGTTCCATAGAGGTGATTTCCAAAACTGTTACTAAAGTTTCCAATTTTCCGGACCATTTAAATTGAGGACTCATACGCAAATATGTTACAGTTTTGGGTAGGACCAGACGCTTTAGGCCATCTAAAAAATTTTTCACCAAAAATCTTGCCGTCTGTAAGAGAAGCACCGTATTTTCACCTTCATAGGTGCAGGCTGCTGTTGCGGCGGCATACAAGTTACCAAAGTTGGCCGAAGCCATAAAACCATGGCCACCACAAGCTTTACGCAAAATTTCAACACCTTTGGCAGATTCATCGGAACAGATGGCTTTTAAGCAGCATGATAATGCATGCAATTCGGCTAGATTACGTTTATTGCCCTTATCCAGTTCTTTGCTAACAACGCGATAAAAATCCCAAACACGATCTGCTGCCAAACGATAGAAAATACCTTTGGCAATCTGGGGAAATAGTTTTTGTTGCTGTGTTAGGAAATCAATAATTTGTGTTTCCTGCTGGCCGCCAGCTTCGACACCTTGACGACGCACTGCAGAGTATCTAAAAGAAGAATAAGTGGAAATAAGTGTTAGATTATGGCAAGATTTGCATTTCTACCTCGTTGCAATCGTAGCGGCCTGCAAAAGATTCACAGAAACATCACGTACAATCATAACACGCACATAAACCATAGTTCCGTACAGCAACAGTGGTTCGGGACCCTTAACAAATGTACCATCTGGTAAAACTTGATTGTTGCGCGATAACATTTGATTTAACGGTATGCGGACATTTTTCAAACCCAAATAACCGTTATTGACACCATTCAAACCAATGCGGGGACCAATATCACCTACATCCACTCCTGGTTCAGGTTCATGCGTCTTTTCATTTCGTATACGTACCAAAAATGGTTGGAAACCATATGAACGTCCCTTGATATACAACTGAGCCATTAGCACCACCATATTCACTGTTAAACCCAAACCCCCCGGCCACCATTTGTATGAGGTGAGTGTCGGTGAGTTGAGAATAAATTCTTGCTTTTCTATATCATAATCGGCTCTAGTCTCAAGACCCCTCAAATAGGTGCCATGGCCAAGTTCAGTCTGGGCATAGGTACCAATAATGCCATCAAAATTCCATGCCTTTTCTAACCACAGTTTACACTGTTCATCGCTGGCTTGCCTTAGAAGGGTTGGCAGAAACATGGAATAGTGCAGGCGTAGAGGAAAGTTGGCTGGGAACAGACCAGAACCCAATGGACCACCCATTAGGGCACGCAATTCATACATTTCCTCAATGGGTGTTAGGGGAGCCGCCTCTGGCTGTTGTTTTTTCAAGTACTCTCTCAGCTTGAGCAGAAAGCGTACAGCTTTTTCTGTTGTATACTCATAAAGCTCCTTATGCGACATATTGGCAATGTGTTGGTGATCCACAAATTGTGGATCTTCATAAAATAGTTTAGCCATTTCTCGCTTCTTATAGAGTTCATTGCTGCCTCCGGCCCACCAAATGGCAAATTCTTCACTATTTATTGTGGCATTTTTACGTTCTTGTACTAGGTCGGGATTAATGGCTGTTGCAGGGGCCATAATAACTGCTAAATAAGTTCCACTTTATTGTGCTGTTTATGATTTGATTTTACGCTTTGCTCAAAACAAAACGCTTGCAAAATATTCCGCTTTGCTATGTTATCTGTTTCACTTTTTGCAAACAACTGAAAAGTTGCACTTTTACTCCAGTCAAACGCTCTGCCCGATGAGCGGCGTCTTGTTTGTATAAATAACAACTTGTTTGTTTGGATTTTGTATTATTCGGCATCTTATCAGTGGATGATAAGAGGGAGTGCTTTGTTGCAGATTGCTAGATGCCGGATAAATATATCGTAGGGGCAATTGTTCAATTGGAGTTACCATTGGCGTAGAATGCACTGTTAAAGAGAAATAAGCCATTGATTTCCCATAAAAATCCCAAAAGGAGAAATCCGACATTTTATAACTGACTATAAAGCCTGTCTTTGGCGTTTATGGCTTTAAATATCTGATCTCGCTCACAACAACTGTTGTAATTTTTGGTTCAGAGAAATAATTTCGGAAAAATATTTGAAAGCTTATCCAAGTATATTAAGTTTGTCATTCCGTTTGTAACACCTCGAAATATACATTTTAGACCCCACAAAGTATATATATTTTTGATCAGCATAAATAAATCAGTAATAGTCCCCATATTATGGTATCTCCCTATTTTCGTTTTTTGATGATTTTAGCGACATTATTCACCGGAATTGTTTCAAATTTGGTATTTGAAGTTCGTAATGGATACTACAGCCTAAGACAGAAAATTGTCTGTGCAGGTCCACGTCTACGTATTGAACCCATATAACGGCACCTCCCGATATTCGATATTTTTGATGATTATAACAACATTATTCAGCATTTTTTTTGTTCCGCATTTGAAAATTGTAATGGCTTATGACAAAAGTTGCCTATGCAGGTCCACGTCGTCGTTTAGAGCCTAATATAAGGGCTACAATCGGTATTTTCAAGATTTTAACAAAATTTTTAACGGATTTTATTTTTTTGAAAATTGCCAAAATCGTTCCAAATGGTGGATGGTATTCAAACATTGGCCCAGCCGATCTTACAACAACAATAATTTGTGTTTCCTGCTGGCCGCCAGCTTCGACACCTTGACGACGCACTGCAGAGTATCTAAAAGAAGAATAAGTGGAAATAAGTGTTAGATTATGGCAAGATTTGCATTTCTACCTCGTTGCAATCGTAGCGGCCTGCAAAAGATTCACAGAAACATCACGTACAATCATAACACGCACATAAACCATAGTTCCGTACAGCAACAGTGGTTCGGGACCCTTAACAAATGTACCATCTGGTAAAACTTGATTGTTGCGCGATAACATTTGATTTAACGGTATGCGGACATTTTTCAAACCCAAATAACCGTTATTGACACCATTCAAACCAATGCGGGGACCAATATCACCTACATCCACTCCTGGTTCAGGTTCATGCGTCTTTTCATTTCGTATACGTACCAAAAATGGTTGGAAACCATATGAACGTCCCTTGATATACAACTGAGCCATTAGCACCACCATATTCACTGTTAAACCCAAACCCCCCGGCCACCATTTGTATGAGGTGAGTGTCGGTGAGTTGAGAATAAATTCTTGCTTTTCTATATCATAATCGGCTCTAGTCTCAAGACCCCTCAAATAGGTGCCATGGCCAAGTTCAGTCTGGGCATAGGTACCAATAATGCCATCAAAATTCCATGCCTTTTCTAACCACAGTTTACACTGTTCATCGCTGGCTTGCCTTAGAAGGGTTGGCAGAAACATGGAATAGTGCAGGCGTAGAGGAAAGTTGGCTGGGAACAGACCAGAACCCAATGGACCACCCATTAGGGCACGCAATTCATACATTTCCTCAATGGGTGTTAGGGGAGCCGCCTCTGGCTGTTGTTTTTTCAAGTACTCTCTCAGCTTGAGCAGAAAGCGTACAGCTTTTTCTGTTGTATACTCATAAAGCTCCTTATGCGACATATTGGCAATGTGTTGGTGATCCACAAATTGTGGATCTTCATAAAATAGTTTAGCCATTTCTCGCTTCTTATAGAGTTCATTGCTGCCTCCGGCCCACCAAATGGCAAATTCTTCACTATTTATTGTGGCATTTTTACGTTCTTGTACTAGGTCGGGATTAATGGCTGTTGCAGGGGCCATAATAACTGCTAAATAAGTTCCACTTTATTGTGCTGTTTATGATTTGATTTTACGCTTTGCTCAAAACAAAACGCTTGCAAAATATTCCGCTTTGCTATGTTATCTGTTTCACTTTTTGCAAACAACTGAAAAGTTGCACTTTTACTCCAGTCAAACGCTCTGCCCGATGAGCGGCGTCTTGTTTGTATAAATAACAACTTGTTTGTTTGGATTTTGTATTATTCGGCATCTTATCAGTGGATGATAAGAGGGAGTGCTTTGTTGCAGATTGCTAGATGCCGGATAAATATATCGTAGGGGCAATTGTTCAATTGGAGTTACCATTGGCGTAGAATGCACTGTTAAAGAGAAATAAGCCATTGATTTCCCATAAAAATCCCAAAAGGAGAAATCCGACATTTTATAACTGACTATAAAGCCTGTCTTTGGCGTTTATGGCTTTAAATATCTGATCTCGCTCACAACAACTGTTGTAATTTTTGGTTCAGAGAAATAATTTCGGAAAAATATTTGAAAGCTTATCCAAGTATATTAAGTTTGTCATTCCGTTTGTAACACCTCGAAATATACATTTTAGACCCCACAAAGTATATATATTTTTGATCAGCATAAATAAATCAGTAATAGTCCCCATATTATGGTATCTCCCTATTTTCGTTTTTTGATGATTTTAGCGACATTATTCACCGGAATTGTTTCAAATTTGGTATTTGAAGTTCGTAATGGATACTACAGCCTAAGACAGAAAATTGTCTGTGCAGGTCCACGTCTACGTATTGAACCCATATAACGGCACCTCCCGATATTCGATATTTTTGATGATTATAACAACATTATTCAGCATTTTTTTTGTTCCGCATTTGAAAATTGTAATGGCTTATGACAAAAGTTGCCTATGCAGGTCCACGTCGTCGTTTAGAGCCTAATATAAGGGCTACAATCGGTATTTTCAAGATTTTAACAAAATTTTTAACGGATTTTATTTTTTTGAAAATTGCCAAAATCGTTCCAAATGGTGGATGGTATTCAAACATTGGCCCAGCCGATCTTACAACTTTTTTCTTGTTTGATTACATTTTACACCTTATAGTGTTTTCCAGGAGGAAACAGTGGTCTGGCGGTCAATCCTGAAAAGAATAAACTTGTACTATTCACAAGGAAACGCAAAATAGATACATTTTCGTTGCTAGTACGGGATGGAGTTAAATAATTCCCCGTGTGCCTACCTCGGTACGATCTTGGACCAGCGTTTTAACTGAATCAAAAACAATGAGTAGCGTACTAAAAAGTGTCCAATTGCACTATATTAATGCAGTAACGACTGAAGGCTGGGATAATATGTCGTTCTTCATTGGGACCCCGACAATCAACGAAGCTTTATAAATCTGTACCCATAATGCAAACCTAGAACTCTTTTTCGCATAATATTCCAATTTGGTTCAGACACCTTACTGACACATTGGCCTCTATTAACGAGAATACACTTCAAAATTTGCATCAATGGAATTTACATGTTGTGCAGGGTAGGGCCCATCTTTTTACATTTTTATACGCTCAGCCATATAGCTATCGAAATAACGATTTTTGACCCCAGATCTCTGTGGACCAAACCAGTTTCAGCAATGTCCGTCCGTCTATCTGTTTGGCTGGCTGGTACTTACGATAACTCTCAAAGGCACTATCTGATTTGGCCCAAACTAGGTCCATCGTAATATTATTATCAAACTTAGATCGAGTTCGGAGATAGCCAATATCGGTCCACTCCTTCTGGTACCTCCTCCACAAAATGTCAACATTTTCAAAGAAAATAATTTACTGCACAGAAAGAGAAAGGATAATCCGATTTTGCTACTTTGCGAATCCTAATATTTACATCAGATATCGACCCACTACAATAAGACCTCCCCCGCAAAGGATCAACATTTTGAATAATTATAACATTTATTAAATGGATGTTACAGTCCGATTGTCTTCAAATTACTCACATTACAATGTTTTTATTAATACAAGGTCTGGTGTGAAGATGGAATATATCAGTCCACTTCTTCTGGTACCTCCCCAACAAAGGGTCAAAAATGTAAATATCCATGAAGCTCATAAAACGTGAAATTAACATCCGATTCCATTCAGACTGAGTACATCTCAATATTTCCATCAACCCAAGGTCTGTTATAAAGATGGTACCAATCGGACCATTCCCTCTGGTACCTCCCCCACAAAGGGTCGAAGTTTTTAATAACCAAAACGATTAAAAAATCTGAAATAAGCTTCTACATGCATCACACATCCTATTATTTCCACTAACACAATATCTGCTGTGAAGATGGGATGTATCGGTACACTCTTTTTGGTACCTCCGCCACAAAGGGTCAACGTTTTGAATTTCCATGAAGCTCATAAAACGCGAAATTAACATCCGAACACTTTCAAACTCGGTACATCTCAATATCTCTATCAACACAAGGTATGTTATGAATATGGTAGAGGTCGGACCAATTCTTCTGGTACCTTCCCTATATAGGGTTCAAGATTTTGAAAGACAAAACGCTCAAAGAATGAGAAATAATGATCCAACTCCCCTCAAATTTCACACATACAAACATTTTGCTAACACACCAGTACAAAGGGTCACAATTTTCAATACTTTTATCTGTCATATGTTGCGAAACAAGTAAGCGTTGTAAAGACAACTTGCTATATCCAAATATTTCTCTCAAACTCAGAAAACTGATATGAATATGGAATTTATGATTTTGCATAAAATTGGATATAAATGTTCGATTTTCTTCTAATTTTTCCCATACCAATATTTTTATCTTTATTAGATGAAGTATGAAAATTGAATACTTGGCTCGTTTATAACTGGTACCTCGCTCACTTTTTAACATTTTCTAAAAATTATCACATATCTCATTTAAAGTGAAGGAAGTAACCAATATAGTATATTTCTGGCACGTCGCAATATTTATATCATATTTTTTAGGTCCGATACGAAATGAACAATATTGGACCATTCCTTCGGAACCTACTCCATAGAGGGTCAACAATTTGAATAATCATAACAGAAATCATAACAGAAATCAAAATATATTTAAATAATCGAACATTTAATTTTTTTTTTTACACTTTAAAAGTTATTTTAGGCTAGTTAAACACCTAGTCATCTTAGAAAACGAATGTAGTCATTAAAAACAAATAAAACTCTTTTTATAATTAATTTTAATTTGATTGACTTTTATTGAATTGTTTGCTGTTATTTTCTACAACTTTTTTTTAAAAAAATCTTTGCCATTTGTGAATACGATAATTGATAAAATTGTTAATGTTTATTCATATTGGTTTTAGTGGCTTAATTATAAATATTACTTTAGCAGCTATAGACAAAAATGCAATGCTGAATGGAAAATGAAAATTATTTTTTTTTGTAAGAAAAACATACCGACTTAGGAATCCGACATGAGAGGTTCGTTTTATTATTTATGTGGTCCTAGAATCTGTCTGTTTGTTTAGCGTAGAAGAACAAGAAGCAGAGTGTGACTGTCTTATGGCGGGTTTTACAAATGGGCGCAGCAGATGCGTGGATGGGTACGACGACGGGCGGAAAACAAATGTAAAGTATTTGCTTGTCCAAAAATACCAAATATATCCAGGACTTTTTCCACAAACCAACGACAAGACCACATATCATGATGGTCTCGTGTGTGTGTGAGAAAAAATGTGCAGGGAACAAGTTGTTTGATCCAGAAGAGGTGAAGAAAATTGTACAAATGGACAGCCACTTGCAGACTGGTCGTTACTGAACAATCCTTGTGAGCGTAGCATTGCCAGACCATATTTGCAAACAGCATTTAATAAAAAAATAATTACCAACAATCCATGACAAATCCTCCCTCGTTGTCCTAAAGCAAATTTAGCGAATGTGAAGAAGAGTGTGCTCATAGGAAAATCCTAATGTGATATCGTATTGTAATTTTTGAAGTGTGTAAAATTCCAAAGAACCATACAAATAAATGGTGCTTGTTTTGCAATTTTACAAAAATAAATCCATGAAATGTTTCAAATGAATCCTTGTATCCTGTAATGCTAAGAAGAGTAAGAAGTCCATCTCCAAAGCCGAAGTATTTTCCTTCCATTATCCTTCTTCTCCTTTACATTCCAATCCTTTATGTCCTGTCCTTCTTCCTCCTTTCCTTTTAATCCATTCCTTTAATTATTTTTTTTTTTACCAAAAATCCTTTTCCTTTCCTTTTTAAACCCTCCTCCATTTTTTTATACTCCTTCCCTCCAATCCAAATCCATTCCGTTTTGAAGAGGAAAGAGAAGAAAAATTAAGAAAAAAATTGTATTAATAAAAATGTTGTGAAAAATATTTTCTAAAACAAGTAGTTGTTGATGAAAGGGGATGTCTATAAAATCTATTACAAGGGGATATTAGGTGTATGGAATTACAAAGAACGGGGGATTACATTGAAAACATTTAACATCAAGCTTTAGCAAGGATATCATTATAAATATTGGGAACAAGAGCTATTTTCAAATGATGGTTCCTGTGAAATTTGAATCAAAATATCCTACGATATTACTTATATTGCAAATGTTGGGTTTCAGACTGACAGATAATAGTTGTCATATTTCTTGAAGGTGTACATTAGAAGCATCTTGGATAGATCGTTCTCTTTAATAAGAGGAAAGGATGGGAATTGGAAATTTAAATGCTACTGCCTCGCCGCCTTATCTATGTGAAACTATATCTTGACGTTTTCGTTTTCTCCACTTGAAGTTCATGGCATTTCAAATTGATTTATATTCGCAGAATTTTAAAATTTCATTTTATATATTTGGATCATATGTTTGTTTGTATCTACTATATCAATAAGTGTTCGGTGAAGTAGTTTGTTAGTAGAGGAGACCTTTAAAAACAACAAATAAAAATATTAGTTAAAAGGATTAAAATCAAGGAATGTAAATGAAATTAAAGAATAATCTCCAAAGATTTAAGTTTCGATATTCATATTTCACATTATGAACTCTGAATTGTTAATCTCTCGTACTGCACTATAAAACTATTTAAGCCCTGATTTTTCTCCCTTAACTTATAGCAATCGATATACAAATAATGTTTCCTCTATATCTTTTGTACTTATTACATAAATAACCAAAAAAAATCTACATAAAAAAGTAGGAGGCCAAAATAAAATAATGTTTAAAACAAGGAAAAAATACATTTGTAAAAAAGTAGGAAACCGTTTTTGTTCGTGGTGTATGTTGTGATCATGAGCATACTTGTTTCTTTCAATTTCTGAGTTGCTGGAATTGGGATTTACAAAGAAAAGCGTTGCGGTTTTCGTTTTTATGTTTTGTATCTTAAGCTTTGTTTTTCTTTTAGTTTTGCCATGAGAAAACGTCGTCTTGAAAACTTTTTGCTATAAAGTTTCTAATTCATATTTCGTACTTGTTGTGGACTTTCTTGTTTGACTCTCTCAAAAATACTTATTTAATTGGGACTTCTTGCTAGAAAATCGACTTTTTGCGGGTGTTTGAATATATATCTTAGTGTGGGTTTGAGTTTCATTTTCTTAGCATTTGTTTGTTTGTTTTTCGGAATAGATAAAATTAAAAGTTTGAACGAGATCGTGACCTTGAGAATGTTTGCCGTCTTACTGGTGAGTAGGTTGGAGTACCACGTCTTCTGGGGCGAGGTGAGAATGAGCGAGACCTATGAAAATTGATTTTATTAATGAAGGCAATCTTTTTAAATAAATTTCTGACGGTGCTTACCTGCCACGTCCAAAATCTCCACCACCTCCGCGGCCACCACCACGGTCATTATCGCCAGTGTCTTCACGTACCCGAATATAGGATACCTCACCCTGAAAATAGAAATTATAATATGAATTAGTGACATACGTAAATTATTAACAAAAATGAATGTTTTGTGCGTTCTTGAAAGAAAACATTAGCTCTTCGTGGGTCTTCTATGAGAAGAGACTTGAAGACTTTTAGGTCTTCTATGAGAAGACTTTTAGGGCCTCTATGAAAAGACTTTTAGGGACTCTATGAGAAGACTTTTAGGGCTTCTATGGAAGACCTTTAGGGCTTCTATGATAAGACCTTTTTAGGGCTTCTATGATAAGACCTTTTTAGGGCTTCTATGAGAAGACCTTTTTAGGGCTTCTATTATAAGTCCTTTAGGCCTTCTATGAGAAGACTTTTATGCTTACTATGAGAAGGTTCTTAGGTCTTTTATGCGAAGACTTTCAGCTCTACTATGCGAAGACTTTCAGATCTTCTATGCGGAGATCTTTAGCTCTTCCATGCGAAGACCTTCTTCAGCTCTTCTATGCGAAGACCTTCTTCAGCTCTTCTATGCGAAGACCTTCTTCAGCTCTTCTATGCGAAGACCTTCTTCAGCTCTTCTATGCGAAGACCTCCCTCATTTTTACTCATTTTCCTCCTCTTTATTTCAAACAATAATTGGCAGGGGAATCTTCGTCATAGCAAGTTTAATTGAAACGGAGTATGCAGTATTGTACAACCACGTACATTTTTCCTAATCGTATATTGAATAAAACAAGCCTCAACCGTGGGATAGGAAGGAAGTCATCCCTTCATTAAGAATATTTCAGATCATACAGTAGATTAGTCATGAAAAGGAAACTAGTTGTTTTCTCTTTCTATCCTGATAAACTGTTTGCACTAAAAAATATGATCGCCTGTATGAGTTTAGAGGGTGAAAGCTATTTAATGCCAATATCTCAAATAGAACAAGCTTATGAATACAATAATAAACGATTACACTCAAATAAATTATTGAGCTTTCGTGGCTTTGTTCTGCTATTTATGGACATACCCCTTGTAAGAGTAATAAAAATCATTCCGTTGATTTTATATTCCCAATGCATACCAGTCATTTACATCGCCTTATATAGTTCTTGTTTTTTATGTACTTACTTCATGTGATCTAAATCTTGAATCATCCAATTTCTTGATGGCATATTTCATATCTTCCAAACGTAGAAACTCAACAACACCAGTGCCATCTTTATAGGCATCGGCAAAGCAGACGTCGCCTGCTTCACGCATGTGATCCTTCAAATCTTGCCATGAACCTGAAGCAGGTAAGCCTGTGACTTGAACACGATACTGGGAACGTTTGGTTGGTGGTCCTCGACCACTGCGGCCACCACCATCACGACCACGTCCTCCTCCACCGCCTTCATTGCGGTTACCACGATAACTGCCAGGTCCACCACCTCTGGGAAATTCCACACGCAGTCTATAGCCATCATAGTCGTAGCCGTCTCTGGCCTTAACAGCGTCATCGGCATCGCTGAAACACACATACACACACAACAACAATAAATTTATAATAGAAATAAAAATACATTTAACTGATAAGGCGATTGCAAGAACGCCATAGAATAGAGAACTCAAACTTTATCCCAAACACTTACCGTGCATCTTCAAATTCGACAAATGCAAATGGCGGACCACGCCGGTTCTTCAAATCGACAAACGTAACCTTGCCAAATTTATGAAACAAATCCTGGATATCTTTGGTGCGAATATCTGGTGGTAAATTTCCAACATAGATTCGTGACTCATTACGTGATGCCATTGTTTTTGTGTTTATTTACAACTTTCTTCAACAAATTCAATAAAATAAACACTGTTTTTTACAAGATTTTGCGTTTTTCTTTTGTCTTTTCGTGTCGCGTTATGGCTGGCCCTTTTTTGCAATGCGCACCTTCTTTGTATTGTGGCTGGATGTCTGTGTATGTACATCGTTAGAGTACCAATTACTCGTCACCAGCTGCGGTTACCAGGCAACCAGTTTAGTTGTGGTAGTCGTAGTTTTAGAGTTGTTATGGACAACCTTCATTAAAGGCGCATGGTTTAGGGTGACGTTAAAAGTGTTATTTATTTAAATATAAAAATCTTGATTTTATTATTTTTATTTGATTGTTATGAATTGAAAGTTTTATTTCGAATGAATATAAGTTTTCATTACATTGACAATATTACAAAATAATTTACAACGCATGCTACTATTTAAAATTAATATTTAATTGAGTGAAAAAACCTACAAAATCAAAGTGTTCAACACCCTCTCTCACTCTATCAAATTTAATTTAGATCTAAACATTTGAAAATTTATACTTCCTAATATTTGGGTACAAATGTCAGCAATTTGATCAGTTGTTTTTATATATCTAACATCAATATTTCCTTGAGCCAAATGATCTCGAATGAAATGGTGCCTAATGTCGATATGTTTCGATCTTTTACATTCTGAGTTCTTTGCCATAAATATGCACCCTTGGTTGTCCTCATACAGAGGTACAGTATATGTATTTTCAACAATATGCATATCCTCTAGGATTCCTTTTATCCATATTGCCTCTGATGTGGCTGCACTTAACGCTATATACTCTGCTTCGGAAGAAGAAGTAGCCACTGTAGCTTGCTTTTTGCTTGACCATGAAATTGTACTTCCATAAATTTGGAAGACGAACCCACTTACTGATTTTCTGTCAATAAGATCGGAAGCCCAATCAGCATCTGCATATCCGATTGATTCACAACTTTCATTTCGTTTTATAACCAATTTCAATTGCTTTGTACCCTTAATATATCTTAAAATTCTCTTTAACATTTCCCAATGCGTTTCTGTTGGAGTTTCTTGAAAACGCGCCATATATCCAATGTGGAAGCAAATATCAGGTCTTGTACATAACATAATATACATAAGGCTTCCCAAAAGTTGTCTGTATGGTTGTTTTGTTGGCCCTGAATTTGATAACTCTGCCAATTTTTCCATTGGTGTTGCAACCGGATTACAATCAATCATTTGAAACTTTTCTAAGATTCTGGATATATTGCTTTCCTGTGATAATTTCATAACTCCATCCTTTTTATTGTAGTCTATTTTAATTCCCAAAAATATTTCAGATTTCCAATATCTGACATGCTGAATTCCTTGCGTAGGTAATTTTTCAAAATATCAATCTCATTTTTGTCGCTACATGCGATTAATAAGTCATCAACATATAGCAGTATGTATGTTGTAGTAGAATTTGTATATTTGACGTAAAGACAGTAATCACGCTTCGATCTTACAAATCCAATTTTTAAAAAGAAATCATTATTTTTTTCATTCCAGCAACGTGGACTTTGTTTTAAACCATATATAGATTTATTAATCCGGAAAATCTTTTTGTTGTCAAGGACAATTCCCTCAGGCGCTTCCATGAATATTTGTTCCTTTAATTCCCCATGTAGGAATGCAGTTTTGACATCCATTTGGTGGAAAAAATATCCGCGTTGAACTCCAACTGCTAAGATTATTCTCATTGTTGTAAGTTTAGCTACTGGTGCAAAGGTTTCTTCATAATCTATGCCATGTTTTTGTAAATATCCTTTAGCCACCAATCTCGCCTTGTATCTTGAAACATTTCCATATTCATCCTTCTTTATGCGAAATACCCACTTTGACTTCAAAGGTTTTACATTTTCAGGTTTTTCAACTATGGTCCAAACATTGTTGTAGTCCATTGATTTTACTTCCTCCTCTATTGCTTTAAGCCATTCATTCTTGTCTTTTTTTGTTAAAACATCTGCATAGGTTTCTGGATTTTCACTGATTACATTGTCAACAATATCTGCATTGTAGCCTGTAAAGTACTCTTTGAAAACTTTTGGTATAAGACCCCGAGAACTTCTCCTTAAAGTTGTTGGATCATCTTCCTGTGTGTTCAACATATCTTGGCTATCATCGCTAGTAGTTTGTAGTTGTACGTTATCTTTGTTAAGTCCACCATCATTTGTATTTTCCACATTTATATCCGTTATATTTCCGCCGGTTCTTGAATCATCCATATTTGCAGTTATGACATTTTCTTCATCCCTCTCTTGTTCATTGCTGCATATTTTAACAATATTATTTTGACATTTTAATATCTCCCTTTTTTTTCGTCGAACTTAACATCACGTGCTGTCACTACTTTTCTGGTTGTCATATTCCAAATTTTATAGCCATTGCTTGTGTATCCAATCATAACTCCCTCCATGCTCTTTGGATCTAACTTCTTCCTCTTTTGGTCCGGTATCCAAACATGGGCTTTACATCCAAAAATTCTTAATTTCTTTATATCTGGTTTGTTTCCATACCACAGTTCCGCTGGCGTAATTTCATCATTAACACTCCTAGTTGGAGTCCGATTTAACAAATATACGGCAGTCAAAGCAGCTTCTCCCCACATTTCTTTTGGAGAATTTGATCCTATCAACATTGTTCGAATCTTTTCAACTAAAGTTCTGTTGAACCGTTCAGCTACACCATTTTGTTGCGGAGTATATGCAATAGTTTCCTCAAGTTGTATTCCTTTCATTTTATAGTACTGCAATTGTTCTTTTGAACGATACTCTGTGCCCTGATCGCAACGTAAAATGGATATTTTTGTTAAAAATTTTGCACTTATTGTTTAAATTTGTCGAATACTTCTGATTTGCTTTTCATCAAATAGATAACTCCAAAATGGGTGAAATCATCAATGAATGAAACATAATATTTGTAACCATCATGAGTTTTTGGAGATATAGGACCACATACATCGCTGTGAATTCTTTCCAAGACACGAGAACTATGGATATGCACACCCTTGAAGGGTCCCCGACACTGCTTCCCCTTTAAACATACGTCACACAAGCCGAAACATTTTACATTTCCCATACCCGTCACCATTTCCTTTCGATTCATTGACTCAAGGTCCTTTTGATTTATATGGCCCAATCTACAATGCCAATGCCTTCCCTCATCGTTAGAACACAAATATGAACAGTTTATACATTTAATAAATTTAAGTTCAAAAACATTACCTCTTGGTTCAGCTATGGCTAATTCTTTACCTTTGTTTAAAATTGTTGCAGTATTTTTCTTGAAAACTACCTCTAACCCTGCTTTTGACATCTTGCTAACAGATATCAAATTTTCTCTCAAATTTGGTACATAAAGAACATTTTTAAGAATAATACGTTGACCAGTAGATACGTGTCCATGTATATCACCCATTTCATTTGCAGTCAGCTGTTCCCCATCTTTGGCAATACTTATTGTTAAAGGCATCTTCATCGTTCTCAGATCATGAGAAAAACTCCGATTATTTGAAATATGGTCACTTGATCCTAAATCCAAAATAAAGCTAATGTTGGTTGCCTCACTCATATTTGCATTTACCATAAAACACACAAATTCATCTTCACTTTCATTATCAGAATAAGGAACAGTGGATTCTTGGTGGTTCGTTGAGAAATTTGCTTCTTTTCTAAACCTGCAATTCATTTTCATATGTCCCATTTTTCCGCAGTTATGGCATTTTCCATTGAATTTGAATTTATTATTTTTGCGAGCAACAAAAACAGTTCCTGATTTTCCAACACCATCGTCCTTAATTCTATCACCCCTTTTTGCCTCTTCAGCTAGTAAAGGTTGTTTTACCACTGATAATGTCAATTCATCTTCTTTTATATTTTCCAAAGCTGTTATTAGAGGGTCATAACTTTCAGGCAGACTTACAAACAGTTGCGACACCAAGTCGCGCTCGTCTAATTTTGCTCCAGCTGACTTTAATTAGCGTACAAGTCCATCAAATTCTAAAAAATGATCCATCATTTTTGTATCTCCTAATAATTTCAAATTTGCCAGCTGTTTCCTCAATATTGTCTGATTTGTAGATGATCTCACCGTAAAAACGTTCTTTAAAGCATTCCACATTTGAATTGCAGAAGATTTATCTCTTACATCATGAATACAACTGACTATAATGCATTTAGCTTTCATATCCATCTCGCGATACTTAATTTTTTTCTCATTTGAAGCATCGACTTCCAGGGCTGATTCAATTACTTCCAACACATTAACCGCATCCAAATACATTTTTACACAAAAACTCCAGTTTTCATAATTTGTTCCATTAAATTGAACTATTCCATGAGGAACTTCCTTTCTTTGGTCGCCCATAACCTCTTGATTTTATTATTTTTATTTGATGGTTATGAATTGAAAGTTTTATTTCGAATGAATATAAATTTTCATTACATTGACAATATTACAAAATAATTTACAACGCATGCTACTATTTAAAATTAATATTTAATTGAGTGAAAAAACCTACAAAATCAAAGTGTTCAACAAAAAAATGTTTTGACAACTCTTAATAGCGAATTTACATGCTATGATTTTGAAGCGATTAATGGTAATTATTAACTATTCACAATAATTTTAAGATTTGTTTTCATAGACAAATTAATTGTGATTGGTCAGTGATACTGTTAAACCGGATAAAAACATGTTCCTCAACGTTCAGGGTAGAGTAGGTTGATAAAATGCGGAAAGAATGTGCACTGATGAGGATACGTGACACTTTCCGAAACCATGGTATCCCCTGCTTTACCCCTGGGAAACATTTCCACTCATCTCTTTTAGTTAAAGAGGAAAAATATCATTTCAAAATGATCATTACTCCGTAAATATTGACATTTCGGGGTTTTAAGCTATGTTTTTTGATCACTTTATTAAAGAGGAAAAATAGGTTATTTTAAACTGGTCATAACTACGTAAATATTGACATTTCGAAGTTTGTAGCTATGTTTTGTGATCAATTTAATAAAGAGGAGAAATAGGATATTTAAAAATGGCCATAACTGCTTAAATATTGACATTTCGGGGTTTTTAGCTATGTTTTGTGATCAGTTTATTAAAGAGGAAAAATAGCATA